GACCTGGCAAACAAGTACATCATAAGTCACTTTTGCTAAAATGATCCTTCCAGCCTTGCAAATCACACAAGTTCTGCATGTCTCCGGGGCACCAACAGTGTGCAAGTGAAACTGCAATGTTGGGACTGCTGATAAAGGGACAAATAACACTTTAATTAACTGAGAATACTTAATATCCTGCCCTGCCTATGTTGCAATGAGGGGCAAGCTGGAAACACCTATTAAAACAGCACTATTATGTCCTACTACGAGAGTTCTCCTGTCTGTCACCTTTTAAATATTTAAATCTCAGATTCTTTAAAAGCTGTTTCCGCTGCTTTTACTCTTTGGATGTAAACAGATTTGTTAAATATTTTATTTCTAACCCACCCACGAAGCTACATTCATTTACATAACTTAATGAAGGCTGCATTATTCATTGAACTTCTCATATAACATTTTTTGTAAGACATTATTAAACAAGTGAAGCAAGCCAGTCTAGTAATGAGTCTTCTCTAAACTTGCTGCCAGTTACATTTCCTTTCTCCTAATCTATCACTCTAATGGTTGCAACTAATAAACTTTTTGAATTTTTGCTGCTAATCTGTATATGTTTTGCATTGCATGCTGGATGTATAACTTGACAGAGAATTTACAATACAAACCACCTGGCAAACAAAACGATCTCAATTAAATGCTATCCAAACCCACCCCACTCTTTTTTTTTGTTATAATAGAGGACAGCTACATGTAACATAGTACCTTTAAGCCATAAATAAATTCACTAATTTGGGCCTGGAATATACCAGCAGTATATCTCAAAAACAAGATTTGTGTCTGCATTTTAAAATCTCTCAATCTTTGCCAAAAGTCAGTAGATTAAAGTTTGGTTTATGCAAATGACCTGCATAGCCTTGTAAAAGATTCAGTAGTCTTGCATACAATCCTGTTAGACTGTTCTAGGAAAGATGATATGCAATAATTTTCAGGTAAGGAAATTCAGCAATAGGTTGCTTACACGTGGGCTATTTAATCTGTGTTTAAGACTATATCAAAAGTAATATTGGATTTTCAGGGAGACTAGGCAGTGCAGCTCCCTTTGAGAAAGATAGCAAATTTTCAGAATTTATACCTAATAAAATCAATTCCAATTATTAAAAAAAGAAATAGATAGTTGGATCCAGGGTTCTAATTTTATGCACATTAGTTTTTAAAAGACAGGCATATTATTTTATCAGCATCTACCCTTAAAACCTTTGCAGATATATAGAATCAACATAACACAGCAGTGTGCTGTTTTCAAAGATGGCTAGATGCATATTTGTAAAAGCATTTTTTAAAACTTCCTTCAGCACTTAGAAAAGCACAACTTGAAAGTCAAAGACTAAGTATTTTACATATTATTAAGTATTTTTCTTGGTACCTTTCCAAGGGTTATTCTAAATCATTGAACAGAATAAAACAAAAAAACATACAACAGATTGAAACAGGTTAGAAAGAAGGAAAACCTTTTTGTCAGCTTCTCATCTTGCAAGGTCCAGGAACAGACTCCTGTAAGGAAAGATTAAAATAAAATAAAATAAAATAAAATAAAATAAAATAAAATAAAATAAAATAAAATAAAATAAAATAAAATAAAATAAAATAAAAGTTAAGTTCAAAACCTTAAGCACACAAGACTTCAAACTATTTTGTCCCTTGAATAGGTGCTTCTATGAACCATAACAAAAGAAAATCTTTCCCAGCTCAACCACTGAAAGCAACATCTTTGTTTCACAAGGACAAAGTAATTAAATACGATCGAGTTATTTTGTAATCATTTCCAATGAGTCTTCAGCATTTCTTTCCTTAGTCATATAACAACTGGCAAAATTCACTTTTACCTGTTTTGACCTTATCTGGATATATTCTTTCCTTTCAATCAGGTATTGATTTATCAGGTAGCATTCCCCAATGCCAAATTACATCAGTTTAATTCTAAAATGTCCTTTTAATTAAAGAATAGATACAACTGTGTGTTGTTAAGAACAACACATTTAGCCCTGAATGGATAGTTCAGAAATTCTAGGCTTTAGAGATGCTGCTGGCTGGCAGGATTTCTTACTCACATGGTTTTAGGAGAAGTGTGGGTTCTATTAACTCACCTTACCCTAAGGGAAGGACCAGCATGCTACATATAAATCATGGCTTTTTACTCCAGGACCAAAGCACAGCACCTTCTAAATTGTGTGTGATTTTTCGAAGAAAGACCTGGTCAAATATTTTTCTTTTAAATAACAGGCTAACCAAGAGGAGGAATATGAAATACCCTGCCTCCTGTCTCGGTGCAGCACCCCAGCACAAACTATGCTCTTGTGGGGAGCTGGAATGAGGACCTGGTCTGCCCAAAAAGCAATTAGTTTTTTGATCGGTAATTTTTCAACAAAATCAGCTCCTGGACCCAGCATAACAAGAAGAATGGGGACTCGGGGTGCAGCAGACAGGCAGCACCTCAACAGCAACCACAGCCTCAGCGTGTGCCCACCCCAGCCTCTGCTGAGCAGGCAAAGCCACACTCACACCAGAGCTCACCTGAATCTGGTCTGCAGCCAGCATCCAAGCTGTCAAAATACAGCTGCATACAGGAGATTAGCAGGGGTTGTAAAACCTGCTCAAGAAGTTGGGCAAATATTTTAGCAATTAACCCACACTGAGCTCCGTTTTACTGTAGCTACACTGCTCCCATTTCTCAAGATAGCTTGTTTAAAGCTAGCTGCAGGATGCCTGAATTGCACAGCAGCGACAGACTGCTTAGCTACAGAAATAAATTATTACAGGGGCAGTACCTAACATAGGTTATGTTGTCATGATTTACAGCAGCTGAGGATGTGCCCCCAGATGTCCAGACAAAAATCAAATAAAGCATATGATTTTTTTTTTCTTCTTCGAACATAAAAGCCATGCAAACTTGACTCAAAACCAAAAATTAAAGACTTGCATGTATGACCTTAGACTTACACTGTGAAAGTGTTTGTATTCTCCAGACAGCACTTAGGTTCCCATTCTTTATAAAATTAAAATAGAAACTAAAATAATATAAAGACCGTGCAAAAAGTTCCCACATATAAAAGACTTTAATTAAAGGAAAAAAAAAACAAAAAAACAAACAAAAAAAAACCCCAGAAAAACCACAAAACATTTAAAGAATATCAAAATCTATTTGGATTTGGAGAATGTTTTGATGTTACAGAAGAAAATGTTAGTAAAGAATACGAAGACAAGAGTCCTGCTGTTCTCCAGACTCCAGATCACCTCCAAATCAGGATCAAGGTTTGCAATTTTCCACTACTATATTGGTAATAACAGGGTCTTAAACTGAGGTTGTTCATTAAGTCCCTGAGAAATGTAATGGTACAAGAAGTTTGCACAGAAAAAAAATTTAAGAATTTAAACGTTGCCAAGAAGACTCAGGTACAATCTAAAAAGAATATATTTTGTATTTTGGGGCTAAAAAACATTGAATATGAGAAATTGTTAATAGTTATGCTCATATGTAGGTTGTACCTAAAGCTATATGTTAGAAGCTCCTATGTTTAAAATGCTACCTGGAAACTTATCAAACATATTATAAAAACACCCCTTAGAAAATTCCAACCTTCATAGATACTATTAAGCACCTGCAGCTATTTTGGGCAACTTAGCTCTGTCCTTAATTTTGATCTTGGGAGAACATAATTTAAAAGTGAATGTATTCCAGAAGCAAACAAAAAATTTAATTATTCTATATGGTGCTACAAGTGCTCATGACACTGAATTACATTGGTTTACTCTGTAGATGTTTATAGAGCCAGCCTATGTTGTTTGACTTTTGAGGGAAGACTAATAGGTGTAGTAAGCAGGGGTGGCCACAAAACCCCTTATGGTTAAGCCAAAATAGGGGTCATGCCTAGGGCATTTTATCTGTCCTGCTTACACACCCCTGGGGAATTGCATCTCAACAGTTGATTCTCTGTTAATCAATTCACATTAGTGCCTGCCTTTTAGTTTTCACTTTGCTGAATTCCAGGAAAGAAGTTCTTAAACCAAATGCATGCTCTATCTCTGACCTAGTCAGAGCTGTTGCATTTCAAGGAGAAATAAGCAGATTTTATTTGCTCTACCAGCTGATAAGAGACACCTTCGTAAGTAAAGATTCATAGCCAGCAAGCTCAACACAGAACAAGATTCAGTGGTCTGTTTACACAGGTCAGCAGTAATATGGGAGGAGAGGACATTTATGGAATTTTTCTCCTTAACCAGGTCCAGAGAAAGACTTATGTGACATTATTTTTCTTTCCTTTTCTTTCTTATTTACTGTGGCTAAACGTGTTTGATAAGACCTGTAGCACTTGCCATCACTCGCATGGTGGTTTCATACTGTTCTTGCATTTACAAGCTAAAATTTATAACAATTTACTACTCACAAGGAACTACATGTGAAAGAGGGGAGTATTATGAACACAAAAATAGCAAATACCTGGTTCAAAAAAGTAGATCTGACTTTACATCCAAACCCGAGAACCACATCCTTTAAGTTACTGTCTAGCAGACACACAGATCTTCATACAAAGAATCATCAAAAATAAATTTTATTATCAAACTTAAAATTCACATATTAAACATACAATCTAGACACAAATAATACTGAAAACATTCTCAAACAAAACCATTTCAGGTAATTTGGATGAGTAGCTAGTTACCATTGTTTTGAATGCTTTTTGAATATTTCTTAATACATACACCATCCTGAAATGTCTTTAAATGCTTAGCTAGCTAGCTCTCAGTGATATATTTAAATAGGGGAAAACTTATTTCTATAGAAATAACATTATATAATTATGAATCAGAGACCCATAATTGTAGTGCTTGGGGGAAAAAAATATCAGCCTCTTGAAATATTTAGAAGACATAAATAACTATTGTACATTTACAAGTTTTAAATATTTAAAGGCCTTTGTTACTATAAAAAGTTACTATGTACATATTAAATGCTATACAGAAATCCAGTGGGAGGCGAGTGTTGAGCTCTCAGATTTGGCCACTGAAACCTATGAATTTGGTAGGCAGATTGTCCACAGGGTACACTATGGGGCCCGTTTTCATTGTAGGAGGTCCATTCAGCAGCTGCCAGTCACAGCTCCGAGCCAACTCCACTGTAAATATTTTTAGAAGGACTTTTGCAAACTCTTTGCCCACGCAGCTCCTCAAGCCCCCACCAAAAGGAATGAAACTGAACCTAGAGGAATCCTCTGGAGATGGAGACATGAAGCGATCCGGGTTAAATTCTTCCTTGTTGGTAAAGAGATCTGCCACATCATGTGTATCACAGATACTGTAAATAACATTCCAACCTTTAGGGATCTGGTAACCCTATAAAAAAGAACAGAAAGGAGATGTGGAGCACCTTACTGTGTTAAATAATGTGAAGTGATAGCACAGGACACATTAATGCACCCCACCTCCCCTCCTGGCTTCCTTCAGGTCACTCTAAGGCAGACAGGCTACATGAGCACAAAATACTTTGCAGCTGCTCTAAGGAGTTGTGCCCAAACCTTGCTTACATTTAGCTCAAGGGTCTTGAGTGCAATCCGAAATCCTCCGGGAACAGGAGGACTCAGCCTGAGGGTCTCTTTGATGACACAGCCTGTGTACTTCAGCTGCTCCAAGACCTCCATGTCCAGCTGCTTCTCTTGGTTGGAGCTGCACAGTAACCCCTAGAAAGGAAAATGCTACCATGACATTGATGAACCACGTAGCCAGGGCTCCTGCAAAGCAGCTGCCCCTCAGCTGCAAGCAGTATTTTCCTGCCACCCCTAAAAATAAGGCACCACCTGGGTCAAAGGAAACCCTGCCTGGGATACCTGTCCTGGAGATACCTTCCTCCCACTGCCCCCTCCTCTGAAATGCCTCTGGGGAAGACACACACCTTCACCTGCAGTTCTTTCCTCACTTTCTGCAGGACTTCGTGGTGGAGCCCCAGGAAGGCGATCAGTGATGTGGCAGCACTAGCAGTGGTTTCATGGCCCCCGAACAGCAGCTCTGTGGCAGACTCCTTCAGCTCCTTACACAAAGGATAGAAGAGGCATAAACCAAGCCTTGAACACAGTATCTCTACCAGGCCCACTCTACCACTGCAATGCTGTACATTGTTCCCAGGATAGACCCCAAGGAGCCAGAATGGCAGTGGTCGGTGGTGCTTATGCTCCCTGTGGGCACGTCTCCGCATCCAACACCCTGACTGCAGCCTCGGCACCCTAGTGCTCAACACAAGCTGGTTTATTTCACAGGGAGACAGAGCATCTCCTGCTCTTTCCTTTTGTCCCTACAAGGTAAGAGTGATGTTCTCAGAGGGCCTGAGGGAAGGAGATGAATCCAGTCCTGGGGAACCTTACCTGCATGTTGAGCTGCTCTCCGTTACCCTGTGTGTGTTCCATCAGCAGCTGCAGCGCATCCTTGTAGCCACCCTCAGGCTCCTTGCGGGCCATCTTGGCACGGATGTTCTCCTCGATCTTGGCATGGATGATGTTGCGTGCCCGCAAGCCCTGACCAAGCAGGAGAGAGAGCAGAGTGGGTCATGGCTGTGCTGCCATCCCTCTCCCCGGCTCCCCCGTGCTCTGGCCGCAGGGACACCTCTCTCCTCCTGGCCCGCCTTACCCGGTAGAGCCCACTGAACGGCACATCGATGGGCAGCGAGAAGAGGTTGCGGATCATCTCCTCGAAGGCCTCGACCAGCTGCTGCTCGCCGTCAGGGCTGGCCTGGCGGGGCTGGAAGCCCAGCAGGATTCTCATGGCGATGCGAAACATGAGGCGCTTCACCTCGGGATACACGAGTAGGCAGGGCCCGGCGGCGCCCAGCCACCGCGCCAGGCAGGCGCTCACCTCCTCCTGGATGACGGGCACGTAGTGCTGCAGGGCGTCCCGGGAGAAGGCACGCATGATCACCTGCCCGGGGGGACGAGGAGGAACGGGACACGGGCTCAGCCGCCGCACCCGGGGCGACCGCGCCCGCTCCCCGCCCGCCGTCGGGCCGTACCTTTTTGCGGTGCTTGTGCTGCCCGTTGTGAAGGTTGGAGAGGCAGCCCGAGCCCAGGATGGTCCGCACGGAGGCGGGCCACTGCACGGACACGAGCCGGTGCTCGCCCAGAAGGATGTGCCGCACGTTCTCGGCGCCCATCACCCGTACCGTGGGCCGCCCAAAGAGGTGAGTCTTGTAGATGAAGCCGTATTTGCTGCGTTTCATCTGCAGGAATTTCCGCCTCTAGATAGGGAATGAGAGGGGGGAAATGACAAAATAAATTTTAGAAAGGATAAGATGAAGAGGCAGGGAGAGCAGCTCTTTCCCACCTGGGCACGGGAGCCTGTCAAAGTTGCCGCTCATCTCCTTCCCCTGAAGCCAGAGGAGCTCCGGCTCCAGAGGGGAGCCTCTCCGCTCCCCACGCCATCGCCTCGCCTTACCTGCAGCACCAGCTGCAGCGTCTCCCCGAAGAAGGGGAGCCCCATGGTGCCCGGGGGCAGCGGGAGCGGGCAGCTAGGGTCGCGGCTGCTCACGCAGTACAGGTCCCAGAGCTTGACAGCAGCCAGAAAGAGTAGCAGGGGCAGCAGGAAAGTGCACAGGGCGCTGGCGACTAGGGCGGAGAAGCCCATGACTGGGGAGCGACTCCCACCCGGCCCCCGGGGAGCTCTGAGTGCGCGGGCTGGGCTCGCCGCGGGCCGCCTTTTATACCCTTCCCAGGTTGCTGCCCACCCCTACCTTGGTCCGATAAATTAGTTCACCCAAAGTTCATCTTTAATTGCGGATTGCGGCCTGGCTCCTCCCCCCGAAATCTTTAACTATTTGCTTTGCGTGGTGCATCCTACCCGCCGCAGTCCGCTGCCGGGGAAGGAAAGGTGCTGTCGGGGGCGGCGGCAGCGGCTCCGGGCTTACTGGCCCTGCACCGCGCTCGGTGAGTGAGCTGCGGGACACCGCCGACAGCTGACAGCCGGTTGTCGGCTGCCACAGCCTGCTCGTCCTCGGATTTATCGCCGATGCTCGTTGGAGACCAGCGGCTGCACCCAGAAATTCCCGCGCGGCACCCGGCGGCCCGGCTGTCCGCAGACACCTACCCCGCGGCGCTGCCGCCCGGCGCCGATGCGCTCTGCCCAGCTCCCCGCCCGCCCGCCGCCGTCGTCGGCTGGGAACGGCGAGATAACGGCCGGAGCCGGGAGACGCCGGGCCGGGACCGTGGGGTGGCTGGAGAGGACGGTCCCCCGTGCTGGGACAGCTGGGAGACCCGCTGAGCACAGCCAAAGCTGCACCGGCGCATCGGCGGATGAGCCTCCGCTGTCCCCTGGTTCACCTCGAATGGCACGGCTTGTATTTCTGCCGGCCGCGGAGGAAGGAGCCGCCGGCAGCAGTCCGTCTCAACCTCCCGATGCAGGTTCAAGCGCGGGTCACCGAGGGAAAAGGAGGTGAGCGCGGAAAGGAAACACCAAACACGCCATGCTCAGCTCCTCTCCCTGGGATCCACTGCCCGCCCTCGCCTGAGGCTCTCCGGCATCCCGTCGGGGCTGCCGCGGCCAGGTAGAGGCGCTCGGCACGGCCGGGCACCCGGCCTGCAGCCCCGGCGCGGAGGGGCTCCGGGCGGGCACCGCGCCGCTCTCGGGCGGGAGCGGAGGCTCCGGGCAGGAGGAGCGCGGCGGGAGCGGGCTGCGGGAGGGCTATGGTAGGGCTATGGCAGGGCTGCGGGAGGGCAATGGCAGGGCTGCGCTGGCTGCGGCTGCTGCTGGCTGCCGGAGCAGGAGTCGGGCGCTGGGGAAGCGGCGCCCGGCGCAGACCGCTGCTGTGGGGCCACGGAGCTCTCCAGCGGCCACGGCTGCTGCCAATACACCTTCTTTTCCTCTACGGATTTTATGTTTTCCCTCCGTGTTACTTTTGCTTTCTTATTTCCAGACAAGCTCAATAAACGCTGGACATTTTGTGTGTGTTTGTCTGTGTAGGGAAGAGGGAGATGTCACTTTTAATTATTATTTTTCTAACAATCAACGCATCACACGAGACCCGCCCTCCTGTTACGATGCCTTGTCGGAGCGGAGCTGCCCGCCTTCGCAGCCCCTTGCCCAGGAGGGAACCCCTGCAGGGTCCTGCCCCGGCTCCGGTAGCCCCTCGGGGTTCGCCGCGGGCCCGGCCGGCGCTGCCCGGGAGCGGCGGCCGCGCCCTGACCCGGCGCTCTCCCCTCGCCGGGCGCTGACCTGCTTGTGACCTACAACACGGACCGTGACATCTGCGTGAACCCGGCCGGCAACCGCGCCAAGTTCACTGTCTATCAAAATAACGAGATACGGTGGCCTGAGCACCGATAATTGCCACAGGAAGGCTTTATTATCTCCCCAGCTGTGTATTCCCCAGCCATCAGCTTGAAAAGAATCAAATGGTAAAGAGTGAAAGGGATAATTAAAAACATCTTGGAAGGGGGTCAAGAAATTAACAGCCTAATATGAACAAACTTTGATTACAAGTAACAATTATTACACTTCATTTGTAAATGCTTGTGTTTATCTGCAAACAAAATCAGTTTACCAGTTTCTCTTCTTTTTTTTTTCTTTTTTTTTTTTTTAACTAGATTCATGTTACATTTTTTCAGCGGGCTTGCTGGCGCTCAGGGTAATTTTTAAGTGCACTGTTGGAGGAGCCCTGACCTTCCTGCACCGGGTGCTGGATGCTGCAGGCCCAGCCCTGCCCTGCAGTCTCAGCCAGCCAGTAGCTCCTGCTAATTAAAGTTAGTCATTGGCACTTGCAGCCACCATCTACTGATTTCACCTCTGATAGGCAAAAAGATTCACCTTTCAGGACAAGGTCAGGAGGGCTAGAGGCTCTGGTTCACTACAGGGTCGACTTGCCAATAGCACTTAACTCAGCCCTGCAGTTCAACCTCTTCCAGATTTGACTTGTCACATTTGGGAGCCAGGTTTCTGCCTCCAACAGTTAATGCCAGCACACGCCCTGCTGCAGTGCCCCAGCACGGACAGGCAAGGGGGATTGGCCAGGGTAAGGCCATCTCCAGTCCTGAAGCAGGAGGATGATAGAGTTTCAGGAGACTGAAGAGCTCCCCAGAGCCTTTTCAAAGGGACACTGTCTTCATGCCATATTTTGGCCCTCACAAGTCAAGCTGGTTCTTCACACAGAGCACACGACACCTTGTCTCTGGTGGGACAAGGAGGATTATTTTCCCACTGCATTCAAACAGAATGCATAACAGTGGGGAATAGAAGTGAAGCTGAAAGAAACGTATAAACACATGGGTCAAGGATCTGGATCCAGCTCTGTTCTCAGTACACAAGCAACAGGATCAATTTTATTTTACATGGGAGAGAAATACCCTGTGGGGGTACTCAAAAGCCATCTAAAAGGGTGCCCTCAGCATCCACGTTGAGCCTTGGTTACCATTCTCTGGATGGATGCACGGAGCTGCTGTCCTGACACCTTCCCTGGCAGAGCTGGGCTGACAGAGGTGACAGAGTCAGTCTGGCCAGACAGCCAGCTACCGCAGGGCCTGTGTCACCTTGCAAATGTTCCCTCTGCAATAGGAACAGCATCACCAGGAACAAGGGACTTCCTATCACAAATCAGACTTACTCAGAAATGTTTTCTAAACACTTGCTCCCCAAAGCCCCCTCCCCTGCTTCAGTCCAATCCCATGGGCAGGCTGTGGCTGGGGAGAATATCCTGGGGGATCTCAGAGGAGGCTTCATGGCAGACCCTAAGCAGCAGCACAGTGCTCAAGCACAATGTGCACAGCTACTACTAGTGGGTGAATGAGAGATGTCCTCTTTGTGCCAGCTCTAATGGGAAGTGCATGAATGAGATTAAATATTTACAATAAAAACCACTTTACACCCTATTATTTTAGCTAGAGTTGATGCTGTGGATTGGGCAACTCTGGCTTGTGTCTTCCTGCAGAGCCCCCTACCTTCCCTCTTTTCTCATCTAAAAAGCTACAGTGTGCAGGATATTTGTCCTGCTTCTCCTATATCACACCTACAGGAGACAATCCTGGGAGTCTTAGCTGTGGGTCTGGGAGTTTTGCTCCCCATCTCTGGTAGCTGGGGGCCTGTATGGGGCAGGGGCTGACTGAGCCACCCTGCCAGCAGCTTCAGCAGGTTTTGCCCCAGTGCTCATGAGTGGGACTCTGCAGGACACCCTACTGCAGCACGCTGCACACCCTACCAGCCTGTACCCCAGGAGAGGAAAAATAGAAAGACCTTTAAGGTTTTGTTTGGCAGTGACCCAGCAGCACACCCAGCCTGGGGCAGCAGAGATCTGCTCCCAGCAGCTGTGGAGGGCCATTGGCTCCAGGCTGAGGAGAGCAGTGTACCCCTGGCTCAGGCCTCGTGGCCTTGGCTGGACTGCAAGGGGTGGAAGTAGAGCTGCAGCCCATCATCGACAGGGTGCACGATGGGCACGGTCTGCATGGTGGGGTAGCCAGGGGTGGCCAGCTCCCAGCGGGCCGTGCTGACCAGCTCAATGGCCAGCAGCTTGAGGATGGCCTGTGCCAGCTCCTTCCCGATGCAGCTCCGTGCCCCTCCCCCGAAGGGGATGTAGTGGAAGCGGCCTGCAGCCTCCGGCCGGCCGGCCCCGAAGCGGTCTGGGTCAAAGCTGCTGGGGGCGCTCTGGTAGACAGCAGCGGTCTCGTGTGTGTCACGGATGCTGTACATGACGCTCCAGCCTTTGGGGATCTGGTAGCCCTGGGGAGGGAGAGAAGAGGGTGGAGAGACTGTTAAATACCTGTGCTACTGGACGGTGAGCAGAGGGTGCCTGGGGACAGCCCCATTGCACTGCTCACCTGCTCTGCACTTCCTTTTTTCCCCAGCCCAACTGGGACCCACAGAGGTTGCTGGGTGACACTTCCCCTTGAGCTGCACTGCCAAGCACCACCACTGTGTTGGACACAGAGTGCTTGCACACAGCGGCAGGCAGCAGCTCTTAGCGGCCTGCCAGAGTGGGAGGCACTTACATCGAGCTCAAAAGTCTGCAGTGCCGTCCTGTAGCCTCCGGAGACTGGGGGCAGCACCCGCAGCACCTCCTTGATCACACAGTCCAGGTAGCGCAGGCGGCTCAGCTTCTCCAGGCTGATGTCTGAGGTGCAGTGACAGCTTTGCCCTGCTGGTGCCAGGAGCTGGGGGCCAGTGCAGGGCTTGCTCCGGGGGACAGATGGCTCCAGCAGGGCACTGGGCTGGAGGGAATCTTCCTCCACTGGGGCTGGGGGCTGGCTCTGGTCCTTGTGAAGGTCTTTGGCCATGGAGTGGGAAAGTGGTTTCTCTCTGTCCCTGCTCTGGATGGTCAGGGTGTCCAGGCAGGGTCCTACAGGGCAGCACTGACTCTGCTGGTACAACTCATGGGACATCAGCTCCTGCCTTATTTTTTCAATCACTGAGGGGTGCTTCAATAGCAGGAGGATCAGAGAGGTGCTAGCACTAGCCGTGGTGAAAAAAGCAGCAAATATGAGCTCAATTGCTGATTCCTGGGAGAGGAATGAAAATGACAAGTTTGAGTAACATTTCAAAATGATTGTGTCTCAGACTGTTCTCACCTTTTGCCGGTTTTGCCCCTGTGCAGAGGGCCCTGACCCCCACTCTGCTCTCCTCAAACCTGCACCCATCCTAGGTTGGCAGAGACCAAAGCATTTCTGTATGAACTGGACATCCACTTGCCAAGCGACTGATGCAGAGGCACAGCTGGGATGAGTACACATTACTCCAATCCAGCTCTTCTGAGGTTCCCTCACATGATTTACCGATTTTAAGGTGGCACTTTGGCATGCATTATAGAGCACTGAGTGAAGTCCATTTCAGGTATTATACTTATCTTTATCTGCCAATTCCCCTTTGCACCCAGATTTTACTTTTCTGCCCAGGCAGTGGTTTATGCACAAATTCTAGATGGGCTGGCAGCTAAAATGGGTTGGATTTGATCCATCTCCAGTTATGATTGATCTTATCAGGGAGGGGATAAGGGGACAAGGCAAGAGTCAAAAGCATAAAGGCCTCTCTGCTAGAGCAGGTCAGCCTGAGAAGTGCTGTAGCCAGCAGGGAGCACACACCAGGCTAAGGACCTGCTTGCTTTTCAAGCTGTACAGTCTGAAGCACAGCAGAGATCCCAATAGCTCCACAGTAGCTGTACCCATAAGTATGAGGTTAACCAGCTCACATACATGGACCACAGCACAGTCGAATCTAATATGTGCCTTGTCCAAGGTCAGGGGTCCCCCTGCAGCCTCCCAGCCTTGGTGGGACTGTCTGCAGGGTCTGTATGGAACAGCACATGCCAGGTTGCTGGAGGTTGTTTGCAGCACCCTCTGATCAACTTTTATCAATGGTTTTCCAAAAGTTAAGGGTTGCCCAGAGCTGGTTCGTGGCATGTCACATCTCTGACAGCAAACATAATGCTCAAACCTACAGCACCGTCTGAAGGTGCCAATGGCTCCATAGCACAGGGCTGGGAGTGCTGAGGCCAGAGACAAAAGCCAAGGAGAAGCCAAAAGGGGGAGTACCAGGAACTGCCCCTCTGGGAGGCCTGGGACCTGACCAGTATTACAGAGCTCTAATTGCTCCAGCCCAGAGGCAAAGAGGAGCAAAATCCTCCAGGGACACCGAGCAGTTTCCTTTCACATGACTCTGTCTGGACTTTAAATGATTTTGACACAGCTGGTTCTAGAGAGGTGAAGCCACAAACACAGAGAACACTTGAAGACTGAAGGTACTTGGATTCAAGTCTGATAAAGTTAAGGATAATGTAACAAAGATGACTCTTTGCTACCATCCTTAGTGCCATATATTGGCTGGACTAGATGCTTTTGCCAAAGAGCAGGTCTCAAGGGCATCTTTCAGCTGAAATAAAACCCCTGGAACAACAGATCCCTGTCAACCCCTATCACACCTCCTGCAGGCATTAGCAGGAATTTTTACATTCACAAGGTAGCAGACCCAGATGAAAAGAAACCTCTCAGTTCCACCACATGCAATTAAACCCCAAGACATTTCAATAGCATGCAAAGAATTTAGGGCAAGCTCTTAGGTTTGAAATAACAGCCCTTATGCTCTTTGCATCAACCTCTGACAGTGCTGCTGCAGAGGTTGTGTCACAGCTGCTGTCAAAACTTTCCCTCCCTGCTTCTACAAGGCCAACAGAACCAGTGTCTGGAAGGCAGGATATTCCCAAGCTTCTTCACCAGTACTGTCCCTGTGCTGGGAGGCAGAACAGTCAGCATTACACCCAGCCAGTGACAGCATTATTATGCAGGATGGAGTTTTTCAAAATCTTCCCAAGGTTTAAAATACTTTAAAACAGTATTGTTGGCAAAGCAATTAGGTCATTACCTTTACATTTCAAGGGCCCTGGTGAGTTCATGGCAGCAGTACAAATCACAGTGTATTTAGGAAAATTTCTGGGAAAACTGTCTTTCCAGATCATTTGAACAAAAAAAGCAGATTAGTGACTAGTCTGTGCCAGTGTCTGGAGAGTCTCTCAAAGATAGATATATCTACAACTGAGATAGCTTTGGACTTTTTATCCAATTACACCATTTCATTCAATGAGATCTCTACTACTGTTTTATTAGGGTGGAGAATATTGACATAATTGCAAGCATAGGCAGTTCAGTTTGCAAGTAATTTTGTTAAATACAGAAATTTTCTAACCATAAAGGTACAGAACAACATATGAATATATTATAATTTGAATCAGCTGGCCCAAGATCACTACCATGTAACTCAGTCCACGTTATATTTAATATCTCCTTATTCAATTTGTGGTTAGAGCCAGGCACATGATGAGAGATTGTGAAATTTTTCTTGCATAATATTCACATGAATATTAGCAGAGATTAATTAATCTTAATCATATTTTGAATCAGTCAATTATTTTTTAAAATTACATTATAATAAAAATTGTTAGAATAAATAACATAATAAATAATTATAATAAAATTTATTTAGTAATATATGCTGGTTCTAATTCTATCTAATAGTTGCTCAAAGTTTTTCAAATATTTTAGATTTTGAGATTCCTTTTTTCAAAATATTTATAAAACATTAGTTTTTGGATAGTTATCCTGAAATACTTAAATAAACAGTAAAACTACATTTAAACTATATTCAAATACTTTAAAACCATATCCAGCTGCTGTACCCATGCAAAATTGCTCCAAAACTTGTTATATGAATGCAATGTCATCTATCATTTACTGACACCAAGTGAGCTGGAACTATGAATGATCCAGTACTAATGACGATTTTTTACTCAAGATCCTTGGAAAAACACTCGCCACATTCCCTTAGTGGTTTTAGCTCAGCAAGGACTACAGGGTTCATCCCTATGTCACAGTCATCCATCATATTTCATCACAGCAATCCACAAGCTACATGATCTGATGAATGAGGAGGTGATAGGGAATGACCCAGAATCCATCGTTCCATCCCTGGACCCATTCTGATTTATCACCTCAGAAATTTCTGGGCTCACAGCCCTGAGGAGTCCAGTGATGTGATCTACACCCTGCCCTAGGCTGGGTTCTGGGCTGTGTTTGAGAAGCACACAGATATTCTGAGTATTTCCAAGACAGTGTCCTGGAGGTTACTGAGTACACAGACATGCAGAGCCTTAACCCAGCTAGGTGCTACCAGTACCCTACATCAGGCTGAAGGTTGGTGGCCATGAAGAGTAGAAGGGGCATTCATTTAAAAGGGTCTCTTCTAATGCAAACAGACACAAAACTACAAGAGCATGAGAGTGTGCTGAGTGCAGGTTCCCTCACTTGTGCAGGAACTGGTGTCCTCATTGCTGGCAAGAGCGGGGCAGGAGCCAGCAGCTGGTGGTGGCCCCCACACAAGCCTCCTCCTGGCCCTCAGCCCATGTCTCTCAAACAGCCACCGAGTCAGGAGTGGCACTGCAGGGCAGAGTTCTCCTTACCTTTAGCTCCTGCATGGTGAATTCTTTGCCGTGCTCCTTGGCACTGTTCATTATGAAATCCAGAGCATCGCTGTCATCTTCGGGGTTGTTTCTCTGCAGTTTTTCCTGTATAGCCTTCTCCATAAACTTATGGAGCATGTCCCGTGCTTTGATTCCCTGTGAGAGGCACACACAGTTCAGGAGAACCTTAGGAACTGCCCCCCTCTCTAGAGAGACCAGGGGAACCCAAGTGTAGCAATCCTTAATCCCAGGACCTGTAACAGCAAGAACTGTTTAATCTGCTGCCGAGCCCCAGAGCCTTGCAAGGGGAAGCAGTTTGGGGAGAAATGAGGCACATTCTGTTGCCTTGCTGTTGTGAATCAAATAAAACAAGTCCCAAGAAACTCTCTGGGAGAAAAGACAGCAGTAAACCCATGCTACCAAGTTCAGAGGCATCTACACTGAGCAAACCTACAGTTGTGTCAGGTCCAAAAGCAGCTTATCCCAAGGGATAAGAAAAGGTAACGAGAAAACTGAGTCCAGACAGCAAGGCACGAATGGTACATCAGTATAGTGGATAAAGACACATTAATCACAGTCAGCTCATCTTCAGGTGTGTTGCACTCCAGTGCAGCAAAACATCCATGTAAGATCTCAGCAAGTCAAGTGATCAGCAATGTCTTTGCAAAGTGGGATGGATGGAGTCACAGAGTGTACAACTCTATATAAAAATGTCTCCTGCAGAAGCCAGAAGAAATTTAAAATTAAAAATGGCCATGGCCAGATGTTGGGAAGAAGATACAAAGGCTTAGATTTGAGGTGGGAAGGATTGGACAAAGTAAACCGGGCAGGAAGAGAGGAGAAAGACAAAGGGACCTAAAGGCAAGTTGAAGATGTTGGTTTGGGGCCAGACAGGCTTTGGCTGACCTGAAAGAGGGTATAGGGTAGGAGGGATGAAAGCTCATACTGGTAACAATCTGCAAAGGGAAACTGGACAGGGAAAACAAGAGTTTCGGTGAAGAGTAGCAGGGAGGCTGGGGGAGAACTGGGACTGGCTGGGTAAGGTGACCCAATAGGGCAGAGCTCACAGCGGAAATAAGAGATGAGGAAAGACCTGGCTAAAGTAGACAGGATATTTCAGCTGGGGCAAGGGGTGGAGAACTCAAAGCCAGAGGAGGGAGGAATGTGAGAGGAAGAATGGTACATAGGACCTATACCTAGAGCAGGAATGTGGAGAAGCAGGCAGAGGGGCAGAGCAGCAGGGAAGAATTGCAGCTTGAAAGAGGCAGAGGAGACTGTCCCTCTCCCTGAGATGTCTCTGGGCTGCTGGACTACAAGGGACTGAGGATCATAAGAGGGTCTTAAGTTCTGAGCCCGCCTGAGTTGCAGAGGAGGTGCTAAGCTGAGGTGTGCTGTGCCCACCTGTCCTTGTGCTTATGCCCACAGACCCCTCTGCCATGGGCTGACAGGAGTTCAGATGGGATAAGACGGGACAGGGTCAGACATGATGGATTCCCCAGAAGCAACATGTGGGATGAGGGAGAAGAGGAGCCCTGTACTTTAAAAGGAGCTGGAGCCAGTGCTCAGAGGTGTTGGAAGCCAGCCAGGAGCAGGTGAGACGTATAGAGAGAAGGGGAAATGGCTGGGGAAGGTAAGACACCTCAGACCTAGAACTGGGCGTTGCAGATGTCCTGGCCCATCAGAAATGTCCCTTGGTGGGTCTAAGGACAGGGGGTTCTGTGCTGCCAGGGCCCAGGCCCTGCCCCCGGGCAGAGGGAGCAGTGCAGGCGGCAGTACCTTGCGCAGCCCACTGAAGGGTATGTTGAGGGGCAGGGAGAAGAGGTTCTCCACCAGCTGTTCAAAAGTTTTGGCCAGATCCTTGAACTGCTTTTCCTCCAGGCGGAGCCCCAGCAGAATCCGAGCTGCAATGCGGAAAGTTAAGGTTTTAGCGGAGGAATAAACTGCGATAGAGCCTGGCTCCATGCACCAGCCCCGCAGCTCCCAGCTCACAACCTTCTGGATCCGCGGCAAGTAGCTCTCCAGGGCGGCACGGCTGAAGACTCTGGCCAGGATCTGGGAGGAGAAGGGGGGAAGAGAGGCAGGTGGTTAAAGCAGGGGGAGCACACCTGGCACCGAGGCCCAGGCCTGGGCCGGAGGTGCCGCCTGGGCTGTGTGCCCTGTGGGGGTGGCTGTGAGGCTCACCTTGCGGCGCTGGCGGTGCAGGTCACCGGTGGAGCTGAGCAGAGTATGGGAGCCCAGGATGATCTGGGTGCTTTGGGGCCACTGCGTGCTGACCAGCGTGTGTTCACCCAGCAGGATCTTGCGGATGTTCTCAGCGCCTGTCACCCGCACCACCGGCCGGCCCAGGAGGTGGGTCTTGAAGACGTTTCCGTACCTCTCCCGCCGAGAGCTGTGGAAGCGGGAGCCCTGGGGACGAGCTGCGGGTCAGCTCGTGCCTCCCGCCAGCCCCTTCCCACCCCGCCCCGTCCCCCGGCGCCTCACCTGGAGCAGCCAGTGCAGAGTCTCCCCGAAGAATGGCCAGCCCATGGAGCCCTTGGGCAGGGGCAGGGCGCTGGCGCGGTCCCGGCTGAGGTTCCAGCGCAGCGCCCACAGGTGCCGGCACAGGGTGACCAGCAGAACCGGGGCCAGCAGCCCCAGCGCCGCCGCCTCGGGCCAGGAGAGCCCGGCCGGCATCTCCTACGGCGGCGGGGACGGTGCGGGTGGCGGCGGCTGTCAGGCACGGGGGACCGGCGCCCCGGACTCGACTACGGGCGCTGCGCGACGGGCCCTGCCGGCTGCTGCCCGCCCGGCCCCGCTCGCCTCCTGCTGCCGGTTCGCCCCTCGGCCACATTTATATAGATATTGGCCACTTACGCCCGATCCACCTTCGGAGATGACGTATCCGCTGCATATTTAAGCAGCGCGGCCAAGTGCGGTGATTGGCGCGGGAGGGCCGGGGACAGCGGCCGAGGGGCTCGGGGCGGCGGCGGGGCAGCCCCAGGGCTGGGGCCCGGCGCCCCCTCCCGCCCCCGTCCAGCCCTTCGGGGCGCCCCAGCCGGGGGCGGGACGGCCGCCCTGGGAGCGGGGTACCCTCCCCTCGGGCCAGCCTACCCAGGTAGCGAGTCCCGTCCCGGGCTCCCCCCAGCCCCCTCCGCAGGTCCCCCCGGCCCGGCTTCCCGGCCCGCACCGCCGTCGGGGCCGCGCGGAGCCCCGGCCGCCTTCGGCGGGGGCAAATCACCAATGAGTCGGGACCTGCGCAGGTCCCGCGAAACCGGCTCCGAGGCGTGTTCCGGTGTGTGAAATTAAACAGGAATACGGGTTTGGTTTATATTACTGTATTTAGACCGTCAATAACTTAAAAATACAGCGAAAATGTACATTATTTTTACACGTTCAATTTGGTTTGTATTTGTTAGACATTCTCTTAGTGTCTAAAATAGCCAGGAGGGGACAGTGCAAAGAGACCAGTAGTGGGACAAAATGCTAATCGCTGGGATGGGGCTGGCGGGAGAAAGCGCAAACTAACAAACAGATGCGGCACGAAACCAACAGCGGCGAACCTATTCCCTACTGCAACCTGGGATAAAGAACCCGAGATCTTACAAAAGTACAGTTAGAAATAGTAACCCTGAGGAACAAAACCAAAACGAAACAACATGTCACATTATAAAGAACTAAAATGGTTATTTACAATCACAACCTCAAGACTAAACCCTTTTGGAGAACAAAGCCTATAAGTCCTAATGCTAAATAGATATCAAGTCTAATTCTCAGGTAGTTTTCAAAGGTACTAAAAATCAGAAGACTTTTTCATACCTCCAGACTACAAAACCTGGTATACAAAATGATGTCCAATCACTTTAAGGCTAATATACATTTAATGCAGGAAAACAATAGGCGGCATCTGAAACACAAGTATCTCAATGCTGAAAAACATTAAATTAGGATTCAACCAGAAAACAGCAACTAAGGGATCATTCTCAAATAATTCCTACTCAGAGCAAAATTTTGGACACCATATCTGCAGATATTTAAATAACATATTTACAGTTCAGCTGTTCCATGTACAATGATTGCGCTGGTTTTTATTGTACAACCTAATTTTTCACCATTTGTTTACAATATACAAAATAGTATTCGATCCATTAAAAATACGTACAAAGAATTGTTTGTTGAAGACTACATGTACAATCCATCTACTGCATTTTTCCTCTTCTCTGTCAAATAAAAGTCCTAACTGGCATCATCATTTGCTTAGTAGAAATAGTGGCTAAGAAACACCTCTTGATGTGAAATACTGTTGATTTAAGAGGCCTATGTGTGCTGAGACATACCATTCACTAAACTCCTAAGTTGCTTTACTACAGTCTCTATTAGCTTCTGCTTGTCACGGTCATTCTTCCTGAACTGAGCAAAAATGTTGTTCTTTTTGCTGGAGTCTTTAATTCTAGAGAAATAAAAAACAAATGACAAACACATTAGAAACGTAAATTGGAAAGGAAATATTCGACTATTTAGATCACTTTAATACTGTTCTTCTTTTGATCTTTCTGCTAATAAGAACTGAAAGATTATAAGACCTGTTCACTATGTGTTCTTAAATTAAACTTCTGCAATGCAGAATTCGTTTTAACGAATACTTTACAAATAACGTGTAAGTATTAACGAAATACCCCTTCAGCAGGACCCTGATCCTACCAATTGCCTCAGGAGAGAAGCAAGTCAGAAAACCCGTTAGTATCATCTGCTTCCATGGTAAATTCAGACTCGGCGAATAGGGAGTTTTGTTCACCGTCAATAACGGGCATCTATATTGCTGATTTCCCATACCAACGGATACAAAAACGAAATTCGGGAAATTCAGTAAGTTACAGCAATAATATTTTGTAACAATATAGGCGATACATACCCTCTGTGAACTCTGCAAAAGACATTTTCATCGCGGGCAGGAGAGAAGAGAAAACACTGTTAGAAAGCGTATTTAAACCGCAACGTGCTTTGGTGCGGTTTTTACCAGCAGGTTGGTACCGAGATGCCGGTACCGTGCCCTGCTCACCCTGCCCTCCCTGCCCGCCCGCCGGGCCGGCCGAACGCTCGCACCGGCTTCACCACGGCCAAAGCTGAGCGTGTCCCTTCCCCAGAGCGGCAATCCGGGCACCGCTGGCTGCTCCCGCGGCCCCGGCCCCGCCGCTCCCGGCACGGCGGCTCCGGCCCCGGCTCCGGCGCCGCTTTGCATCCCCGCGCCGGCAGCTCCGGCCCGGCCCCCGCACTTACTTCTCCAGGAGCGTGAGGGCTGTGCTGGGGTTGACCCGCAGGTACTTGGAGGTGGCCTGCCCGTAGTCAGCCAGGTAGGTGGACCAGTCCCACACCATGAAGAGGTCCAGGAGCTGCGGGGGGAGAGGCGGGTGAGGGCGTGCGGGGCGGCTCTGCGGAGAGAGGCCGGGCGTAGCCCCTCGCCGAGCCCAGCCAACACCCCCCTTCACCTGCCCATTTCTTTCTTTAACGCCTCTCACCTCCCTCAGCCTGCAAGGAGGCGGCTGTGCAGGTTCGGCCCCAGGAGGGGATGTGAACGGTTTCATGCTTTAATATTGGGGAACTCGCTTTACCGTAGGGAGCAAGACTGGGATGCTCGTGTCTGCTGCTTCTCACAGTAATTTAAATGAGAGGTTCAGGTAGTCTCAACTAAGTGAATTAAACACCTCCTGGCTGCACTGTCCATTGTGGCTGATCCCTGAAACTCAGCGCCAAGCCCCGGGCACACTTCTGGCCCAAACAAACCCAAACACTTCAGTGGAGGAACAAAAAGTCTCCAAGCACAGTCCTACGCTTGGCTGCAGTTTCAAATCAGGTCTTTAACTCATGAGCTCAGAGATACTGTACAACAAAAAGCCAGCCTGCTTTTACAATCAGATGCAATGCCGAACCTCCAGCAGCCAGCACCCTCACAGCCCTCAAAGTCTAATTCCCCCTCCACCATCACGGGGTGCAGGCCAGGCACCGCTGGGCACCCTGCCCAGGCTGCCAGGGGCCGGGCACAGGCAGCCCGGCTCGGGGCTGCCTTTCCCACGGCTACCTGCGGGCCAGCGGGCCCCACTGCCATTGACGTCAATGGCGGGGCGCCCCAGCTTCCCCCTGTGTCTGGTGCCTGGCCCCGTCCTGCTGCTGAGGGCTAACAAGGGCTTGTTCTCAGGCTGTCCCGTGTTAGCCAAACGTACTGTTAAAATGAGCGTTGAGAACCATTAACAACACTTTGCCCCAGTGCGTAGTGCCCGTGGCTGCTCCGCTGAGCTGGGTCCTCAGTGTAACCTTGCCTGGAGACCTGCTAAATCAGTAATGCTGGAAAGGTGTGCTGGAACAGGATTTTGTGTAACAAAACCACTTGAAAAAATTGAAACAGACAACTGCAAGTCACACCATTTTGCTATTTCAAGGAAGAACCCTGTTCAAACATTTGCTTGTGCTAAGCCAGAGCTGCAGCAGGAACCCACTCCTCTGATTTCTCAGGCTGCACTAAGAGGAGGACTGCGCTCCAGAGAACCCTGCCTTACTCAAACTTCTCAGCCTGCTAAACTGTCACGGTTGTCCAGTAATGCTCATGCCCCAAATCATAATACCAGTTTATTCACAGAATAAAAGCATACATCCAGTCTTCCCAGCTTCAAATTTATATGCTCTTTTTTGCAAATTTTTCCACTTACAATCCACTTTCTTATGTTCATTTCAAATATAGTGTCTAATTTAAATACACAATTTTCTACAATTACTCCTTCCTTATTTGTATTGTAGTCTTTTGGGACTAGGCAGCAATATTTCCTGGCATTATAATGGACCTCTGACACTCCTACTGCTCTGTCATCCCAAAGACTTTCAGGGACCCTTACATTTTATATTTAACTATCTCATAGGAGTGAAAGGATCTAAAACCCAAGGAGGCTGTTTTATTCTCTGCTGACTAGATATCCCATGATAACCACCAGGATCAAATTCAAACAGTTCTTTCCCACAAAGCCCTTTCTCAAGATGGACACCACCAATTCCACTGAGTTGCTGAGAACATGCCTTCAGTCACCAAGCAAAAGGACTTGGGAAGGCTTGATAACTCAAAAAATAGCATAAGTTGTGAAACTCACAGCCTCAGTTGCTACTGCATGTTACTCATCACTTGTTATTACCTGCGTTACACAGTTTGTGGTACCCAGTCCTCACAGAGGTGTTTTAAAGCACAACCAAAAGAGTGGAAAGATAGGACAAGGCAGATGCACAAGACAAGATATGAGGATAAAGCTGACAGGAACCCAAAGTACATAATCTGGTCATTAATAACTTACTGCTACTTAGAGTGCTATTTGCTATGGGCTGCACATGGGACATGGTCGTTATGGATGGACCAATGTTCCTGCAATCGTATTCAGTGAGTCAGAGGTGAAAGATTTCATTTCTTATCCCTATTATACCATTGAAATTGACAATTCTAGGTAAATCCCAAATAACCCTGAAGCTCATATAGGTGAAAGGTATCTAAAGGTATTCTGCTAGCGATGTGTGGA